TCATATCTGAGACTACCCTAGATTCAATCCTCTCTAACATCACCTACCCCGCCAATCACTCTTCTACTGCCCGTCTTATTGTTTCCAATGCTTCTCTCTGACTTTGGCTTTTGCTCTCTCTACTCGCACGAGGACTCGGTCAAGCGTAGTTCAATGCTCTTTTACCGGCCCAAATACTTTCTCAGATTTGTTAGTCACTTTGTGAGTCGGTCTTGCCTTCTCACTGGAAAACGAACGGGTTCGCGCTGTCTTTTAGGTAGATTCGAGGAGTTGTTACTCATTTTTGGGAACTGAGCCTCTATAAGGAGTCCATCGTCTGGTTTGCTGTAACATATCTTCCCATATCTTCCAGTCTTTTAACCCGCGAGGTCGCGATCTTTTTTTGTGCGGGGTGCGAGCTTACAACTGTTAGCGAAAAAAATTGCTACTCTACAAAAACCTACTATGCTCTCTTTAGACCCTCTTTAGACGTTCGAAAGAAAAGTTAGCCGTTTGAAAAGTGAGCGCACTCCTTGAGAACTAGAATGGGAGAACTTTGATGCCGTTTTGTGTGCCACGTGTCACTTCGAGATCGCGTTTTCTAGGAGATTCGATTCCACGTCATTTGTTTGAGTTGTTCGCCGTTTGATTTCAAAACGTCTTTCTTTCTTACATGCTCATTCATGCACGTCATTCTCGTGTAGGTATCGTGAGATGCTTCAAGCAGAATCTTGTTACAGGCCCTGGAAGCATGCGGCGGCCGCATGTAGTTCTATTCGTTTTCCACGTTTGTTTGCTTGCATGTAGTTAGGTTTTAGGGCGACTCACATCCCGTGCCTTCGAGTTACGCTCTCGCCTTCATGTGTGCAGGAAACATTAAGCCAAGGACGTCATGCATTCATGCAAGTACCACGGAGATTCCGTAGCCCTAGCCAGATGACTTAGACTAGGCAACAGACTAGAATACATAGGGAATAGACTTACGAGTGATTTTTAGTATTAGACGGGACAAGACACGTCGAGTTAGGCCTTCATTCTCAGATATTGAACTCGCAATCAAGCTCTTGCAACAAAGCATCCGTTCCTTTATTCCGTTTTGCCCCCAAGTATTCATCGATGGTCACATGTTTTAGCGTTGTTCCTGCGGAGTTTCCTTGTCCTCGCAAAGTTGCGCCGTACGTGCTGTGTGGAGCCTGCCGTACTACAGTGTCTTTATTTAGTATCTACTACTTTCTCCTATGTTCTCTATTATGCATATCTAGTCTTTGTTGTTTATTCTTGCCGTTGGCTTGCCTCCGTTTAGTTGCCATACCTGCACAACATGCGCATCGCCGAGTAGTAGTATTTTTCTAAGGGTGTGCTTTGTAGAGCTTACAATTTTGCATAATGCATGTTGCGTAATACATCCAATGCGATTGTGACATGTAACATCACGTGATCCTACTGTCACTTAAGCGAGCGGCTCGGAACCAAGAATGTCCCAAACTTATCTACTGGGTCTTACAGTCTGGCAAATGAACTTCCGAGCATTTAGTCTAGGGTAACTCCGGTCTGCCGATTGGCGCCTAGAAGGGAGAACGGGAGACATGCAAGACATCATAAAACACACCCAGTTTCTGGAAGAAGGGCGCTCCTGATTTTCATGGCTGCTGCATGAACTTCGGACAGTACTGTCCGCTGCGTTCTCTGATCGTATCGCTGCAATATAGCTGAGCATAGCGAGCGAGCGTCACAAAAATGATGAGATCTTTGTCAATTCGAACCCTTTTAAACACCAGATACAATGACAAGGCCAACTGTAGGCTCCCATTGCCGGCCCCAGAGGCCGGCCAGTGCCCCGAAATGCCGGCCGGATGGGCCGGGGGACGGTGGCCGGCCCCCATTGCCGGCCCGATTTGACCATCGCCGGCCCAGTTACCAGAGAGTGGGCCGGCAGGGGAAACACAGGTTGGCCCTCACATTCCAATGCACAAGGGATTTGTGGCAGCAATTGCTTCACAAGCGCCACTTTATGAAATCACAAGACTAGCTGCCACATGAGTGAAATTTCCAAGACCGATTGGAGGTGTTTGAAAACACCAGATTGTGTAGAAGCCGCCGTTGTATATCATCATTGTCCAAGGTCTGGCTCAGGTGCAGGCACTGGATGGCGGCGGCTCGGGCTGGGCACAGTCCACTTCACCGTATGAACAAACTTGCTAGGCAGCGGATCCGCAGCTTTCATTCCGGCCTGCTTGCGGAAGATCCTGTACACCTTCTTCCAGAAGTTTGCAGCACGATCCGCGGTTGCGTCTTTTCCAGGCAAAATGGCCATTGAAGCCTTTATGATGGCTTTTTCCACAAGACCGAGCTTCGTGCCCGTGGCAAAGTCATCCACAATGGAGCCCCGAAAACCGCGTTTGCTTTCGAACCATTTGGTATCCAGCACCTTCCAATTCTTGCCCGAGTTTTTGGACTTGACGATCACATTATGCTTCAAGAAAACCAATTTGCATCCAATTGCCGCCAATCTTTCCATTGCCTTTGCAGTCTCTGGCTCCATTTTTATTTAATGAGGGCTACAAGTTCGCTATGCTTCCTTCAGTTTGCAGAGCTGGAAGCGCACCACTGAGAGGGAACTTCTTTCAATGCTTGGTGATTAAATACTGCTCGCCACATTATAGGAACTTTTCTAGGCGATTAGTACGGTACCTATAATTCAGTCATGGTAGCGTAGTAGGCACCTAGAGATCGACAATGTGACTTGCGAGTGAGTTACTCCAACAGAGGGGCCCACTGTGTATACATTTGAAATGTGTACGTCAAACTTCGTAAACAAGGTTCGACCACCAAGATAGGGAGTGCTCGAACTAGACGTGGGCTAGGAGGGATACCGCCCGAGAGGGCGGTATCCTCCTAGTACGGGTTACATGGGGTCCGGTCATGACCGTGCGTCGAGGTACCGGGCCATATTGAAGTCTGCCTCACTCCGGCAAAATAAAGATTGTGCCTGGTCTGTGACCCCGACGATCGCCTCCGGGCACCCTTGATTCGTTGGTACGCTCTGCAAGAACCGCCATATTTGATGCCGTTGATGTGATCATCCAAGCAGCATCGATGGTGCCAAACTCATGGAACTTCTTTAGAATTATGAATTGTTTATCAGATGTTTTCCATCGTTCCAGCCGCTTATCATTAGTGTCAATGATTGACACTCTCATCGCAACGACGTAGCAGAAAAACGTGCGCATCGTACGGCTTTCAAACGAATTTGTTGGATCTTTTCAGCGGTCGATGAGGCAGCCGTGTCGGACATGCATACGGTATAGATCGGGCCACATTTTTTCGCTTTGCGGCACGAGGCCGAAAAATCGTTAATTTGCACCGTGACACGTGAGAAGGTTTCTTCGTTCTGAGTGTCTCCTAGCCAGTAAGAGTCAGTTGGCAACGGCATTGGAACAGAAGCAATGGTAATTAGAAAATTCATTCTTAAGCTGACAATATTGCATTGTTAGAGGTTTTATCGTGGCTAGAGTGCATGACAGGACTGACGAGGGGTAGCATGGCCAAGAAAGATAGTCTTTAACTTGTGGGTGTTCCTATTTCTGTTCTTTTGAAACAGAAGCCTGTGGCCCTTGTCCTCCAACAATGGTGTAGAATTAGAGTTCTCCGGAGCTTGGGCGCTCTTTCAATGTTAATCTTCTTTGTCCCATTTAGATCAAGGCTCATGCGCCTCAGATCCAACAACGCCAGCGTCAGAGTATTTGTCACAGTCACTGCGTGCGCCAGGTTATGAACATACAGAGGAAGGGTCTTTCTCTAAAATCTCAAACCGCGTCTTTGCAGGCGGTTCTAGCCACTTGCTATGCAATCTATCCAAGAGGCAGCCGAGGCCTTCCTTGGAACCCTCTTTAAGGATTGCAACCTGTGTGCCATTCACGCCAAGGGCATGACCATCTTCCCCAAGGATATGCAGCTAGCAAGAAGGCTTAGAGGTGAACTTCAAAAGTGAAGCGATTGTAGATTTCAGTTCCGGTTCTGCTAAGGTAATTGCTACACTCTGTAACAGCAAGTCTATGCGGCACTGGATATCTGTGATTCACCTTATCAGCGTTTCATTCTTGCTCAAACCTTGATTCTTGACAATCTTCATTGCAAGAAATTGATGTCTTATCTTTTGCTTGCTGAAAGCCGTGGAAGCTGCCCCGTGTTGGATGACATCATAGCATTACCTCCGTGCCAATGCAATTCGGACGGTCATCCGCCTCTAACCCCACGATAAGAGGCATGCAATCTCTACCAAACGCAAGTGCGCGGCGCTCATGTTAACCAATTCAGTGCAAATTCTAATCCTGCATGCGCATGATCTATGCAGTAAGCATATTTACATCCGATCATGGCCCCCAAGCGCCCTGCCGCCGAGGCAGCTGCCGCCGCCGAGGCAGCTGCCGCCGCCGAGTTCCAGCATTTGCAATCAAGCAAGGCTCCCGGTGCCAAGAATTGAGCCGCCGACAAAGGGCGGGAAGGTTGAGCAGCCCAAGCCTCCACGCGCGGTGGCGGAAGTTGGTTACCCCGAGCCCGAAGAATTCCTCTTCGACGCCGAGATCGACTTAGAGGCTACAATTGCAGCGAATGCTGCGGCACTTTATAGCAACACCACGCTCGAGAGGCTCCCGCAAGATTGGCGCGTTTTTCGGAGACAAATACGGGCTTACATCACTGCCCGGCGCCAATTGTGTACTTCAATCCGACTTCATCGGATCAGCGGCGTCGTGCCACACCGCAAGGTTTTAACCGACGCATGATTTCCAACCGCCGTCAAATATGTCCAAATTTTGGAAATCAAGCGCCGAATGCCGACAGACACGCTATTGCTGCTCTCCGGAGCATGCTGACCTTCAATTAACCCACCACTATCAGGACCAACCTTCCACCCCTACTCCCCGCTAGTGCTAGTCCTTCTTCCCCCAGTCCGACGTCCCGCTCTCCCAGCGCTCCTTCTCGGCCGCCACGGCCGCCCCTGCGATGCTCGCCGCCTCTTCCTACCCGAGAACCACGAGGCTGTGCTCGTGCGCCTCGAGTAGGGTGGGAGGTGATTCTGTGCCCCCCGCCCCCATGGGCTCTCCGTCCCCTCCCTCGGTCGAGCCCGCACTAGCTGACCCCTTCGCAGTTTCTTTTCCACCCCGAGCACTCCGCAGTCGCGCAGCGTTTGCCCGTGCCAGCCCCAGCAAGTGTCTGCCCGTCGCGTGCACGTTGTCCTCGTTCATCGGCACGCCCATCTCGTGCGCGAGCGAGACAATAGGGATGGATCGGTCGAAGCCGGTCTCTGGGGCCAGCTCGCTGAAGGCCTCCTTGGCTAACTTGTCAACAGCGACGAAGGTTTTGGAGGAGGGCGCGGATTTTAGAAAGCCGCCTCATGGGCATGATGTTGGACATCACTTTGAACGTCCACAAGTTGTGGCGCCCCTAGTACTTCCGCTCGGCCTCCGGGTCGTAACCAATGTGCTGCATGACTACGACCTGGTCCGGAACGCCAAAACTCGCACCAAAAGCGGCTGATTTCCCCCAACTCCCGAATGGGAACGGGAGCAGTGGGTTCAAACCCCTCGCGGTCAAAGAGCCATTGCTCCCAGGCCACACCCACCGTCCACTCGTCCCCCGCCTCCTCCGGGTCCGGCCCGTCCACGTATTCGCCCCCCGCATCTTGCTTCCACTCACTGATCCAAGGGCTCCTTCGCGACCTTTTCAATGTTTGCCAAGACCGGCTTCGGGACAATTCGCTTCGGCTCCCGCTTCCTGTCGGGAGTCCCTCGAGGCTTTTTCACACCCCAGGCCACACCGGCCGGCCGGTCACTTGGCACCGGTCACTTGGCGGGGGAACCCTCTTTCTCTCTTTTGCAGCCGCCAGCCGGCGGCCCATCTCTTCAAAAGGCTGCTCCAGCGGGCCCCGCTCCACCTCCTTCGCGAGTTGGTTTTCCAGGAGCTCAATGGCACGTGCGCGAAACCATTGAGCTGCCATCCCGTCGGAGACCAATTGAGCGGCCAATTGCTCTTGGGCCCGATGAGCGGCATCCAGGGGGTCGGCAAAGCGGGACACCGCCGAACTGATAACGGCATCGGCAAGTCCCTCGAGCGACGACGCCAAACCAGCGAGGGCTTGCACCATTGCCTTGCCCGGGCCCAAATCCTCACTCCGAAGCGGCCGCTCGTCCATCAAGAGTGCACCGTTGGAGATCAACCGATTCCCCTCAAGCTCCTCCACCCGCTCCCGATCCATCCTCTCGTCCCACTCATCCAGCGTCTCTCCACAGTCTATCAGGCGGGGAACCCTTAGGCCCGCCGTGAAACCTTTGCCGTTGAGCTGCCAGTGTTGAACTCATTCGAGTCCACGTCCTCCTCCTTTGTCTCCATCGGCCGACAAGTGGCCCGGTTGTGCTCGCGGAGGATGCGGAACAGCTCGCGTACGGCTTCTTCTCAAGCCCAAGCACGTATTTGAGGTGCGTGGTGGCCACACGTGTAGTGACCACCGTTATGCATCACAAAGACGGTCATGCCGCGAAGGCAGCGCGCGATCGTTGCGCCCTTTCCTCCATCCCTTCACTTTCCGACTGCGCCAACTAGTCCGTCCAGTTGCTGGGCAGTGCGCCTCCGGCTTCTTCGCCGTCTACCGAGCTCCACCGGCAATCGGTTCCGACGACTGCCCTTGCAATGCAGCACTCTGCTGCTGGGCATAAGTGTCAAGAATGTACAGCGTGGCATCCTCCACCGAGAGGGTGCAGTGCGCCACCTTGACATCCCCGGTGGAGCCCGGGGGGTTTCGCAGACAATCGTGTCCGCGGCCCAGCTGCGGTCTCATAAGGTCCCAAATGCTCTTGCACCGCAAATGCATTCTTTCTGTTACGTTTACGAACTCCCATGCACTTCTACTCTGAGCTAGATTGCATATTCGCGCGCTTATAAGTTAAGTGTGCTAGTGCATACTAGACTGCAGTGTCTAATAGGCTATCAAGATTCTGTGGGCGGATTTTCGGGATCTTCGGGTTAGCCGTTTTCCTGTGATCGCCGTTTTCTAGGCTAATTAGATTCTGGCCGTCGGTTGGAACTTGGAACCACGTTTCTATCCATATGGTATTTCAGAACATGACGTGGCGTTAGTGTCCTAAACTTGAAAGCTTGACTCGTTTTTGATTTGCGATGTTCGCGTTTTCCGCGTCCACCCACGAACGAGTCTACAGGACGCAGTGGAATCTTTTCCTAGATCGAATCTGTGGATTATTTCATTGAGGTCGTCGATCGTGTGTCCGGTTTTCTGATCCTCCGTCGATGATCAAATTTGAATTCGGTTTCACGCGAAATCGAAACTCGGGTCCAAACTCGAAGTCACTAGTGAGTCTACTAAGCTAGCTAGGCTAGGCTCGACGGGTAGTCTCACTAGTCAACTCAAGCAACACATTTTGCTTGCGTAAGTTCGTAGCTCGAAGAACGTGCTCACGAGCTTACGAACAGTTCGCTTTGGGCGAGCTAATGCGAATGCTTCCAAGCAAGTATTCGAAAGGGAGCTTTGAGCCTACAAGTCGGAATAGAGGTTCTTCTTCTTCAAGCTAGTCTACAAGTTGTATTGCAAGGCAATGCAAGGAGCTCAAGTGGATATTGGTCTAACTTTTCAAGCACACGTTTTGTTCTCTGAAATATAGACCTCCCTTTTCCATTGAGCTAGGGATTGCAATCTTTGTGATCCGATTCTTTGCTTATCTTAACCGTAGGCTATACTAGCCTTTGAGCCTTCTTATCCAATGGAAGCAGCTAGCTTGTAGCTAGAAGATTCTCTTATCTCTTTCCGAATTGTTCGAGCTAGGCCAAGGTTCGAGGCCGGGAGTCCTCGTGACCTTGTGCCGTGCTCAATCTCTAGTCTTGTCTCAGAGACTTGACCCAAACAACATTAGAGAGTAGCTTGTGCTTGGGCTTGCTAGCTTGAGGCATTGGAGAGAAGTATAAAAGGCGAACCCCATCAAGTGAACGGGATTCATTTGCTCACTTCTCACATCCAACCTCCTGCAACCCGCTTGCCAAGTGTCTCTCTAAACAACCGCCAATTCCCTTAGCAATTTATCAACCTTCCGCCCTCGGTAGTAGCACGAACGTTTCATTGGTATCAGATCAGAAGGGGGGTGAACTCGCCTTGAGTTATGGCACCTGCGCTTCGCTCCATTGTCTCTGCGGTCCAAGGGACTACCGGTGTTGGCATGACGCCGGAGCAACGGGACGTTTGGCGGCGCGCTGGACTTCGCGCTTGGCGTAACACCGGCCGTAGCAGCACGGTGGCTACTTCCGTAGCTGGGCGGCTTGAGAGGCAGCAACGGTTGCAGGAGGACCTGGATGCTGAGCCATGGAAGGAAGTCCCACAGTTTGGTGAGCAAGAGTCTCACGCTAGAGTCGTTGCCTCTGATGATGATGACATGGAGGATGACAATGACGATAATGAACCGGGCATGTGTCATGCGGTCTTATGTCGGTGCGATATCATG